TCATGCAAACTGCATGAAGTTCAACCAGGGCAAGTGCAAGGTCCTGCAGCTGGGTCGGGGCAATCCCAAGCACAAATACAGGATGGGGAGAGAACAGATCAAGAGCAGCTCTGAGAAGAAGGACTTGGGGGTGATGGTGGAGGAGAAGTTCAATATGACCCAGTAACATGCACTGGAGCCCAGAAACAGCTGTGTCCTGGGCTGCACCAAAAGCAGCATGGTCAGCAGGTCAAGGGAGATGATTCTCCCCGTCTACTTGACTCTCATGAGACCCCACCTGGAGCACTGTGTCCACTTCTGGAGCTCCCAACATAAGAAGGACGTGGAGCTCCTAGAGACAGTCCAGAAAAGAGGGCTGGAGATCTCTGCTCTGGATACAGGCTGAGACAGTAGGGGCTGTTCAATCTGGAGAAAAGAAGGCTCCAGGAAGACCTTAGAGCACCTTCCAGTGCCTGAAGGGTCTCCAGGAAAGCTCAGGAGATGCTTTTGACAAGGGCAGGGAGTGAGAGTACAAGGGGGAGTGGATTAAAACTAAGTGGGGAGATCAAGATGAGACATTAGAAGGTAAATCTTCACCATGAGAATGGTGAGACCCTGGCCCAGGTTGCCCAGGAAAGTTGTGGAAGCCCCATCCCAAGAAATGTTAAAGGCCAGGTTGGATGGGGCTTGGAGCAACCTGGTCTAGTGGGAAGTGTCCCTACCCATGGCAGGTGAGTTGGATCTAGATGATCTTTAATGTCCCTTCCAACCCAAACCTCTCTATGATCTCACAAGTAAGAGTCAAGGGTAGGACACAAACCACACTGTGTCTTCGACTCTGAAGCCCCGTGCTCTTTTCTGTAAAGTACGTACAGCCACCCAGGGCACCAGCCCCTTCCAGCCTCTCCCGTAATGAATCGCTGAGGACTTTTCCTGTTCCAAGGAAGAGCTGCATTCGCTAGGTCTTCACCAGAAAGTTTATCCCATGTTTTGCCTCGTGGGCTGTATGGAGCTGTTCCTCTATGTAGGGTGAAAACAGGGGGCTATTCTCAGTCAGCCCAATGCACCAAGGGTGATGCAGTTCAGTCGTACTTTGTGGTGGAGCTATAGAGAACCTTTCAGAAAGCCCATCCTCCTCAACTTAAAGCATCCAGGGATCTTAAAATGGAGCAGATCCCTGGTAAACTACTCCCATCGCTCAGGCCAGTGCTCATGTCAGACAGGTAGTGCCTAAATGCTTCATTGTATTTGAAATGTTAGGAGCAAGATCACTTGTCACATTTCAAAATTAACCATTGCAGCCGAAAGTGCCACACCAAGGGAGGTTATCTCTGGAGGCAACGTTGCTGAATGTTGATGATGAGCAGTGTAAGGACAATCAAGTAAGGACAATCTACTGAGTACCTTCCAGGTTCTGGTCTTAACACTTCAATGTCTTGTCAATAGGCAGTTGCAGGCTGGCTGCTGGGGCAATGCTCCTGCAGGATTTCCCCCTGGGCATACCAAGCTGGATGGGGCATCTTGCTGGAGACACTCCTGAGAGTGTCTGTCTCTTAAGATCAGAGTGGCCATGCCAGCAAAGGGCACTTCATATGCAGGATTATTAAGAACAGAACAAAGCATCATTTAATAATATAAAGCCATAAT